AGTTACTCAAGCCCCTTCGCCACGACAAGGCAGCAATCCATGAAGGGGAGGGGGTATGTGTGCCCTTCATAATTAAATTGTAAACTGCCCAGAGAATGCTTTAAGTGCTATGGGGAAGTATAAAAGCAGCATGCTTTGCTTTCCCCTTCCCTTTGTTTTGCATTTTCTCTCTTACAAGTTTTTTTAATTTTATCTCTTTTTTTTGCACCTTTCCTGTAGTGATCTATAAAACCAGCTTGCTGCATCTCCAACCCAGACAAATGACCATATACCTTCCAGAAGTGAGGAAGATTTCCATGGATTATATAAACCTGCCTGTTTTTAACCCCAATGTTTTTAGTGAAGATGAAGATGATTTGCCAGGTGAGAAGAAGGCATATGTACATGATACAAAATTCTGAAGGATATATTTAGGGTAACTGTTCTTTTTAGCTCCCATTTTAGAGTTTATGCCAAGGCCTTGAACTCTGTAAGAGAGCTCTGAAGGTCTCTGAAATTATCAGGAGTCTAGCAGGGCCTAAAGCCTGTGCCTTTCCCAGCCTTGGTGGAACCTGTCTACCACCATTCCCCTGCTCCATATTACAGATCAGAAGGGCAGGTAGGCCTAAGACTCATGTAGAGGATGGACACTGCTGTGCATTCACAGTGCATTTAAGACATCCCGAGTTCATGGAAGCTGTCTTGATTGTTGCTTACATGCCTGGCAGTGTTCGGTCCTCCCTGAAACCTGAGGCAAGTCTGGCCTGAATAGAACTTTCTTCTCTACCCCTTTGGCCCCTGTAAGGAATGTGGGATGGGAGGAGAAGTGTGGGAAGGGGGCATGAGCCAAGCTAGGCCAAGGAGTGTGCAAGCTACTAGGAGACCCCTAGACCCTAATATGTTTCCAGTGATTTAGTTGGAACATAGTGAACATAGAAACTTTGGCTGTATCAATGACACTGAACATATAAAAGGAAGAGGGTTCTAAGAAAAGCAAAAGCCAGCCAGCTGAAACCCAGTCGCAATTCTAACAATGTAATTTGACAAATATTGACCAAAATGAGCAACTACTGAGCAAATTTGTACATAAAATTTATGAAGGCAACAAATGCATCACAAAGTTAATGTGTCAAAACCTCTCTCACACACATACAAACTTACAAAAACAGCTAATGTGGCCCAAAGATTATGTGTCAATATGTAAATCTCTTACAAAACAGAGTGTATAACAGCCATTGCAGACAGTCCTGCTGTTTCAAATCTTCCTCAGAGCACATTGCAAATTAAGGAGGCATCTGACCTTGATTCTCACCAGAATTGTGAGCATACGTTGGTATTTTTCTTTCTCGAATTATGTCGTCTTGGTAATGTGCTGTTTAGAAATAAGTGTTAAAGCTGTGTCTTGGATATTTGTTGCACAGCCTTGATTCTCACCAGAATTGTGAGCATACTTTGGTATTTTTCTTTCTCGAGTTATGTCATCTTGGTAATGTGCCGTTTAGAAATACCGTAAGTGTTAAAGCTGTGTCTTGGATGATCTTTATATTTGTTATAATGTGTTTTTCTTTTTATCCATGTAAGCTGCCCGAGTAGACATTGTCTAGGGAGGCGGGGTAAAAGTCTAATAAACAAACAAACAAACAAACTGAAAATTATGACTAGGTTTGGCTTGGTTTGATTTGCTTATATCAACAACAAAACCTAAACCATGATTAATGTAGGTGTCCAATAGGTGTCCTTTTAATTAACTGGCTTTAAATAGATTAGTTTTGTATTATATGCAGAAGGGAGTGTTTCCATCACTGTCTTGGTGCTTCATTAGTTATGTCTCCCATGCATAACATAACTGATTAATTATCACCTTTTTCTCCATTGAGCTGACATTCAACAACCTCTTTCAGCTACAGATACATGCACCATGACCCGTGTACCAGATGAGAACTTTTTATGTTTTCACTGTCCCTTAAGCTAGGAGCTGAAATAAGGGAGTAAGAGAGCAGAGGGTGGAAGTAGGGAGAGGTTAGTTCTGAGGAGTGGAGGGCCTTGGCGGAGTGCATGTACATTTGCAGTCTTAGTTCTGCATATGATCAGCAAGGAGATCATATGGTATATGCATGGATCCAAAATATGAGAGCAAGTTCAGAACCTGAATAAATAATATTTTCCAAGTAGTGGATTAGCACATTTTCAGATATGTTTGAAATGTAAACCAAAGCCATGGGTGACAAGGAATTAACACGTGGTATCTCCTGTTGATGAAAGGTATAATATAATACTTTGTGTTTTTGTCGTAGTGACTGGAGCATCTGGAGTCCCTGAGAATAACCCGCCTTGCACTGTAAACATCCCCATCGCTCCTATTCATAGTTCAGCGCAAGCCATGTCACCAACTCAGAGCATAGGGCTGGTTCAGTCTTTGCTGGCAAATCAGAATGTGCAACTGGATGTCCTTGCAAATCAGACTACAGCTGTGGCAGCAGCAGACCATGTGACGGACAACACAGTCCATTACCCAGTCCCAAGCCGGTACTCCAACCCAGGGCAGGTCATCTTTGGAGGAGTAGAAATGGGACGCATTATCCAGGCGCCTCCTCCGTTACCCTTGCCACCTCAGGGTGCAATCCAGATGGCAGTTGTAGACCACAGAGATGGCGACAGAGACCACGAACACCTCCAGAAGGTGAAAACATTGCGCCCAGTTCCGCAAGTGGCTGAAGGGGAAGCGGCTGTCTTCAGCCCTGCTCAAGAAATTCAGATGAACAAAATGAACCCTCCTCCTCCGTACCCTGGCACCATACCAGCAGCTCCTACCACAGCACCTCCTCCTCCTCCCTTGCTACCACCTCAACCTCCTGTTGACCTCTGCTTGAAAAAGGGAGACTTCTCTCTGTATGCAACAGGACATTATCAAACTCCTCTGGGCTATGAGAGAATAACTACCTTTGACAGCAGTGGGAATGTTGAGGAGGTGTGCCGACCTCGGACAAGGATGCTCTGCGCGCAGAACACCTACACTCTGCCAGGCCCTGGCAGTTCTGCCACACTAAGGATCACATCGTCCGAGAAGAAGATTCAGCAGCCGTGTACCAGCGCAACCTTGAACAGGCTTACGGTTCCACGGTACTCCATTCCCCCTGGAGATCCACCGCCCTACCCAGAAATTGCAGCCCAGTTGTCTCAGGGCCGCGGCATTGCACAAAGGCTGGACAATAGCATCATTCATGCTACTCTGCGGAGGAACAGCAGAGAGGCAGCACTGAAGATGGCTCAGTTGGTCGACAGCCAGAGAGCCACTCTGCAGCTCCCACCCAAACTGAAGAGCAATGTTGTGGCAGCCCAGTACCAGCAGAGGGTGCCAACAGCCTTGTACACCTGTAGCCAGTGCAGCAGTAACGGCAGCGGCGGCAGCGGCGGGAGCAGCAATGCTGCTAATGGTGGGAGTGGGAACATCAGTAATGCCAGTGCTAACAGCAACACATCTGGCATCGGTGGCACACGGCCAGACATCACAACAGGGAACAGCTCTCAGCACAGCTCTGTCATCGCACACTCGGCCAGTACTTCACCTTTGGCCTCCCAGTCTTCTTACAATTTGCTGAGTCCCCCGGATAGCTCTCGCGAACGGACAGATTATGTGAACTCTGCCTTCATGGAGGATGAAGCTCTTTCTCAACACTGCCCTGTGGAAAAGACAATACGCCATGTCCCAGTGGCCATGGCAGAGCCTAGCATTGGGGTAAAAAGACCACCCCCTTATCAGTGGGAACCTATGGTGAGCGAGGAGATATGGGTTCCTCAGGAAAGGACAGCTCAGAACACTTTGCCCAACCCTGTTAAGCCCAACCCTCTAGTTATTGGCCAAGCTCAACATCTGGATATATCCCGAGCACCATTTATTTCCCCCAAGTCTCCAACCAGTCCTACTGCCACTTTCCAGATGAGTTACGGAGTTGGAGCGCCATATGTGGGGGGCTATAGTGTTCCTCCCCCTCTTCAGGGAATGCAGGTTCCCTGTTCTCCCAAAGAAGCCCTGGCCCCTCCCCAGATTGCACAACAAGAACCTACTGTCGTGCTTCAGCCAGGTTACCCCTCCAATCTCTCTTATTGCCCTTTGCCCCCCATGTACCCTGGAAATAGCACTTGCTCAAGTTTACAGCTGCCACCAATGGCCTTGCACCCATGGAATCCCTACAGCACCTGCCCACCTGCTGCTCAGAGTGCCCAAAGCACTCTGCCCCCCAAGGCACTACTTGTGGTAGAGAAGCCTGTGATGTCTCCACCACCCGCGGAACCTCAAGGTCATGTCGGTTCAGACGTGATGGCTGAGACAGCAGACAATTTCCAAGAGGTCCTCTCCTTAACAGAAAGCCCTGTCCCTCAACGGACAGACAAGTTTGGAAAGAAGAACCGGAAGCGCCTGGACAGCCGTGCAGAGGAAGGAAACATGCAGGCTATCACAGAGGGGAAAGTGAAAAAAGAGGCCAGGACGACACTGACTGATTTCAATTCGCTGATATCGAGCCCTAGGCTGGGCAGAGAGAAGAAGAAAGTCAAAAGTCAGAAGGACCAGCTGAAGTCAAAAAAATTGAACAAGATGAATGAATTTCAGGATAGTTCAGAGAGTGAGCCTGAACTCTTTATTAGTGGGGATGAACTGATGAACCAGAGCCAGGGCAGTAAAAAGGGGTGGAAAACAAAAAGGAACTTGAGGACGGCTAATGAACTTGATGAGTTTAAGTGCAGAAAAGCAAATGAAAAGGAAGACGGGCGTCTGGGAAGCCAGGGTTTTGTGTATGTAATGGCTAACAAGCAGCCTTTGTGGAATGAAGCAACACAAGTTTATCAGCTAGACTTTGGAGGGAGAGTGACCCAAGAATCTGCAAAAAATTTCCAGATTGAGCTGGAAGGGAGACAGGTAAGGCAACACAAGCTTTGGCATGTGTCCGCTTTTGTTGGATGTGACCTCTTTCAAGCAATAGAAACACTTGTCTACAGATTAGTTTTCAGTACACCACCAGCTAGCAGAATAGAAGCAAACATGGTTCTAGTCTTGTGTAGCTCATGGAGGAGAGAGACCTGTAGCTCTACACAATGATACTGGAGAACAGCTTTCATCATCCTTGGCCATGGCCATATTCGCTCGGACTGATGGGAGGTGAGGTTCAACAGTATTTGGAGGGTTACAGCTTTCTCACAAAGCTGTAATTCTTGGGCAGTGTTATGCCTGCCCTAGATGGTCAGACATGGGCTTGTTACTTAATATTTGTGTTGTGTTTATGTCTGTTTCTATGCCTCAGACACCCAAGTACTGAACACAATATATGAAGCAGCTCCTTTTGAAAGCAACATGTGTTCTCAAGTCACAAAAAAACTTGACTTTAAGCCTGAAGTTCTGTTCCAATAAACAAGCCTTAGAAAGCAGCTGCTTACCCATATTCATTTCTGTGTCTCAGGACAGCTGTAGCAAATAATGGGAGATATTTGATGCCACAGTGTGTGGACATATTGATTAACAGAAAAGTATGATCTGTGACTAGCTCCTGCCAACCTAGCAGTTTGAAAGCATGTAAAAATGCGAGTAGATAAATAGGTACCACCTCAGTGGGAAGGTAAAAGCGTTCCATGTCTAGTCACACTGGCCACGTGACCACAGGAACTGTCTTTGGACAAACACTGGCTCTATGGCTTGGAAACGGGGATGAGCATGGCGCCCTAGAGTCGGGCACGACTGGACTAAATGTCAAGGGGAACCTTTACCTATGATCTGTGGCTAACGTCATGCTCAGATTTATATAATATAAATGCACATTTTTCAGCCAAAAAAAAAATTGGAGCAAAAAAGAGGCCTTGGCTCCTGAATGTTCACTGCTATACAAAAGAATAATATGGCAACCCAACCACTTCTTTGTCTAAGACAGGTTTAATGTGAAAAGCAAAAAACAATAAAATATGCACTAGAAGAAAGCCAGATCAGAGTATATGAAACCTTGGCTTGTATTTTTCATTCCTTAAAGTTGCTGATGTACATGTGTAGCTAAGAAATAGCAAACAAATCATTTTGCAAAACTGAGCCAATTTAATTTCTAGCACCCAGAATTAGATTGACCTTTAGTCCCCCAAGCTGTCATGTTTTTTTTTTTGTTTTTGTTCCCCTCTCTCTTCCTGTCATCTTGAAGTTGCTTGGGCAGAAGTGGAAACATGAGCATGTCCATGAGAGAATGAATCTTTTTACTGCTGTGTTCTAGTTTTGTACTTGGGGTAAAGTGGGCAGGAAGGGAGGTGGAGCATCGCGTTTGTTTTAGAGTGAAAGGAAAGCAGGCCCCCTCCCACAACAGAGCTTGGGCTGTCCCTTCCTGCTTGGCTTACCTATAGAAAAATGAGGTTTTGCTCGAACACATTTATGAGAGTTCCCTGAGTTAGTAATCTGCAGATCCAGAAGAGCCTAAAAGTTACACATCCAAAGGCTGGTTGGCCTGTATTCAGGATCAAAGTCTCACAAGATTATAAGAAGTGTGTTTCTAAATCAGATCAAGTCTTGAGACAACAATGTAGCAGTCAAACAAATGTGCTTAGTTATCATCCATTGAAAATAGTACCTGCATTGAAGGATCACCAGCAGCTCCAGGTAAGCCACTATTTCCGTTTGCTTAAGAAAGAGTAGAAGGGAAGAAAGAATGAAAGCGCTCTGTAAACTAAGCACAGATAATGATTGTGAGACCAGAACTAGCATGTCATGCTTACTCCAGAATGAACAATCTGGAGTAGAAGAAAATGGTCTTGTGAGCATTCCAGAAAATTAGCAAACTTTTAGGTATTTCCATAAGGGGGAAATGCTACTTCTCTGTGTGGCTTTGTAGTCTGCTAAGCCACCAGGAGGTTGTATAGACTAGTCATTGGACTGTGACTCATAAGTCATCTGAAGATTGCAGTCATGTTATGACCAGGTGATTATGGGACCAATCAAAAGGAGACAGAACTCATCATATACTAAAATTTGGTTTAAAAGGCTGGAAATCTCCTGTTGTGCTAACATGATTTTCCTTGGATTCAGGCCCCTAAACATTGTGCACTGTTTTGCCCAGTTTATGAAAATATCCTTCTGTTCAATTTTGCTGGTGATTTTAATAGAACTACATGCCAACTGAAGTGTGTTTACCAGTATAATGAAAGAGTTTGTAAAGTTCTCTCTCCTTTAATTGGCCATTGTCCCCTTTAAGCACTGCCTGTATGATTCATCTTTACCCACTTCCTTTCTTTTCCTTCTCCCACTACTTTGTCCTCCAGGTCATGCAGTTTGGGAGGATTGACGGCAATGCTTACATTTTGGACTTTCAGTATCCGTTTTCAGCGGTGCAGGCCTTTGCAGTAGCTCTGGCTAATGTGACTCAACGCCTCAAATGAAAAGAGAAAGAGAGAAAGAAAAAGCGTATAAATCTTTCTCATAAGGGCCAACCTGGGAAGTATCAGGGAGGCCTGGCAGAGATGCACAGAGGCATCTAAGGGTAAAGAAGGACGTGCAACTGGAAAAAGTCTTTGAGTGCCCAAAGGAGGGCATCAACTTTGAACATTATTGGGGATGGGTGGGGGCTCTTTGGTTTGGGATTTCTTTTCTTTGAATCAACATTGTGCTGGATTTTCAGGGCAAGCAAAGGATGAGAGCTATTCAGTGTTATGGTGGGAAATGTGGCTTTTGGCTTGTTGTGATGGTTCTTCTGTGTTTGCTGCAAAAATAGCTAATGTAAGCCAATAGAAGGATTTCAAAAGACTGCCTTTTTCCTTTCTCTCCCACCCACCCCCTGCCTCATCCTTTTATAGATTGCCTTATATCACACTGTTTGTTTTGGAAGCAGGGAACATAAATTCACACCTTGATTATTTTGTAGTATTGGCATTGATAATAACAGCAAAAAGAGTGGGAACAAGAACAAAAGGTATAATATACTTGAAGACACATGCTTCTTCTCTGATGAGAGAGGACTGTAAGCACTATGGAGAATTTTCAGAAATCCATACCTAGTTTTTAAACTATAATTCATAATTTTTGGGGGTGGGGAAGAGGCAAAAGCAAAGCTGTTACCTTTGGGATAGTTTGCAAAATACACTGTGTTGAAGAAGCCTTTTCTTGTGATCTATGGCTTAAGTAATGACTTTGTTTCAGAAACGGGAAAATTGAGAGTGAGGAAATGGTGGAGAGAGCAGAAAAGGACGAGGCACACGGATGTGAACATGTTGATTTAAGATATTTGTACCAGTTTTAGTACAATTTAGTGAGATACATATGCGTGACATGGCGTGACACTTGAACAAAGGCCACATCTGATGGTCCTCATTTCACAATGTTTACAGCTAAATAAAAACGTTTTCTTCGACCAATTCCAGAAATGTGATCAATCTGAGTTCCATTACTTGATAGTACTAACTGGGAACATTGCAGGCATAGGTTGGAGTGCTACCAGAGATGGGGCAAATTACTTTTTTGGACTACAATTCCAAGAATCCCCACCACCAGTATGGCCATTAGTTGGGGTACTCTGGGAGCTATAGTTAAAAAAAATCCACCAAAACTTTTCCTATCTGCAAATACTACCTGTCTGTATCAATAGTGAGACCCAAAGAGCCTGGTGATATTTGGGTGCCTGGGTGGATCAAGGTTTAATACAAATCAGGAGATCTCATTGCTGGGCTGTTCCAGGATTGGTTTGCATAGAAATCTGTGCATTTGTAAATGGATCCACACAAGCAGACTGTAGTTAGGATAATAATCCGTAGTTTCACTAAAAGAGGTTAAAGCCAAGAAGGCTGGATGCTGGGAGGTGACAGATGAAAGGGTTGCAGGGTGATAATGGTTGGAATAAAGATAGTCAGGCAAGGCCAGAAGTAGACCTTGTCCAGTGAAAAGCCTAGGGTTGACCTAAAGAAATACATAGCAGGAGTAGGCAACTCCAGTTCTCTAGATGTTTTTGGCCTATGGCAGTCCTGACCTCATAGCCAATGGAGAGGCATTATGAGGATTATAGCCCAGAAACTCCTGGAGGGATATGGTTGCCCATGCCTGATTAGTAACATGCCAGACCAAGAAGAACCGGGAATTGCTCTAAATCAGGCTTGTCCGACCTGCAGCCCGAGGGCCGCATGCGGCCCAGGTCAGCTCATAATGTGGTCCAGTGCAATTTTTTATTTTTAAAGAAATTCCAGTTTCAAGTTACACTGCTGGCGCTTGCGGCCGGAATGTGGCCGGGGCATGTCACAACAGTAGAGGGGGAGAGAGGGAAGGAAGGAAGGAGTGGGAGGGGAGGGGACAGGGGGGCTGCGTGACTGCATTGCGCCATCCCCGTCAATAGGTGGACCCCCTCCCGGCCCCATAAAACTGGCCCCCTCTGCTGTCTGAGATCGCAGCTACCGGTAAGCGCGCTTGGAGCGGGGCTGCGGAGGATGGCTAGGGCTGCCCCCCCCCCATGCAGCCCAAACCAAAGGTATGTGCGGCCCAAATCAAATTTTCATCTTCTAATGTGGCCCAGGGAAGGTGAAAGGTTGGACACCCCTGCTCTAAATGGATGGATTCATAGAGCTTAGGGAAGACAGAACTTTCTCTTTTCCAAACATTTTGTAATCTGGAGTATTGCAGCATCAGGGGTACCAAGTACTAATCAGAAGGTTTCTGGTTTAAGTTGTTACCTCTTTTACCCTGATGGCTGTGAAAAGGAAAAAGGAGAATTAGGAAGTAACTTGCCATTTCCCTATTCTGCAGTCAAAGCATGTCTCCTCTGGCTATAAATTGGAGTGGGCAGTGGTTCAGAAAATGGATTGAAAGCCAAAACTGATGGAGAACATAATGGTTTCTTTAATCAACTTTATGTAGTGAGAGAGACTGTTTCTGTCTGATGAGCTCTCCATTATGTCAGAGGCCATGACTAGTATTTCAAAATTGGTGGTTTCAAGACAGAGCAAGTCTATTTCATGAACTTGCTATACTCCTATATATTTCCCCACCCCCTCTGGAGATTCTTTTGCTAGTGAGTGTGTGCAAAGGCAAACTGTATTTAATGCAGATGATTTCCACACCATAGAGCAGAGGTTGTGTGGATTCCTGGCAATGGATAATATTGAAGCACCTTGATTGATGTAAACGCCATGATGGAGCAGAATATTCATACTCTCTTAAATTAAAGGGGGGGGGAGATGTCAAGCACGTGAAATGGATGCTTAAAGATCTTTCAGACAGGAGATTGTTACCAAATAGTTGTTTTGCTCTCTTGTTCTTTGCCAAAGATCTGATGGCAAACAAGAAAGAAGATAACACAAGATGAGCTACCTAATCCAAATATTATTTTCCAGATTTTGTACTTGAAAGAGCTGTTGGTTCCATGACAATTGTAAAGTGTACGCACCTACTTGGTTATTTAGCACAAATTTGCTTCTCCTAACATGAAGTGAGCAATCAGGAACTTAACAAAGAAAATCTTATGCACCTCTTATACTGCCACCTGCTTCTGACATCTCATCCAGCATTGCTTTCATACATTTGAGTCTATCTTCATGGCCTCAAGGGCTAAAAACCTTCGTTTTAAAATCAAAATCACAAATAAAGCTTCAGTTCTCAGGATACTAAATTCTATACTCAATACACACACTGTGCTGCTGTGATGCGGTTCCAGAATTAACTGTGTACTGATGACACAACTGGGCCTATAAATTGTTGATAGATTGAGTCATATTGCAGCTGTAGAGCACTGTAGTGTCCCAGAATGCTTGGAGAAAGGCATATTTGAAAGGAAACTAGCCTATTTAGCTCCTCTACTCAGGCGTCAGATGAGGTAGGAATACAGTGGTGACGACAACCCATCCCGTGAAAATTGCTGTTTAGCGAAATCGTCGTCATACAAAACCCTTTCCCCATTGGAATACATTGAAACCCAGTTTAATGCGTTCTAATGGGGAAAATACTTCGTCATCCAGCGAAGCTCGCCCATAGGGAAGCCATTTTGCGAGCGCCGATCAGGTGTAAAAATGGCTGCCCTGCGAAGCATGGGTCTGGAAAACACAGGGCAGCCATTTTGTGGAGCCAAAAAAATCGTCATATTGCAAACAAACAGTTCGCAAAGCACGGACCTAATTGACGTCCAGCAAAAATCCCCCATAGGAATGACTGTTTTGCGAATCGCTATAGCGATCGCAAAAAGTCATCATTATGCAGATTCGTCATTTAGTGAGGTATCACTGTATGAGGACTAGCATACAGTCTATGTGATCCTGCCCAGTCCCTGTAGAGCTGATACAAACCATCTCTTGCCCTTGCTTAGAATAAAGAAATGGCTCTTTCCAGAATGAACAGGGCCATAGAAACACAATTTCAGCATTCCCTATTGGAATTGTCACATTATTTTCTGAACAGTGACAGGATTGAAGTTGTTTGAGTTCAGTGGTGGCCAAGAGAAAGCAGAAGAAATTTTGGTTCACTCAAGGAGAAGTGGTTCATTTTACCAGTCCTCTTCCCAGCCCACATGCCTCATTTTTCAAGGGGCAGCAACAGGAAGGGCCCATTCCATGAGCAGATTCTTCTTGATGGAAAAAGCAAGAACTCAACATTTCTGTAGAATAGGGTGATCTTAAAAACACAGGCGTAAGGCAAATGAAGAGTGGGTGGGAACAGTCCTAGTTCTAATCCTGATGTTTCATACATTACTTCTCTCTCTTCTTACATATGATTATTAAATTATGTTTGGATTTTTTCATGATTATAATTCCTTTTTCTAAGAGAAGGATTTCAGATATTTAAAAGAAATTACAATACAATATTTCTGTGTCCCGCAGGTATATTGTGCTGTCTGCATTTATTAATGTGAATGAAGTCATCAACTAACGATGCATTCCTATTAATACAAAGGGTTCAAAATGTCTTACTATTTTGGGGGGGGGGAATTAAGAATCCTTTCTAGATCTTAATTTTTCCTCTTACCTAGTTACTGTGGTTTGTATAGGCAGAATGTGCACTATGTGAGACAGTCTCACTCCATTTGCTCCATTGGAATCACATCTCAATGGCCCTGTGCGGCCTGTTTATCAAAGGTAAGGAGCCTCTAGCCCTCCATGTGTTGATGGGACTGAGAAAGCTCCAATTGTCATAAGCTCCAGCCACAATGGACACTGGTCATGAATTATGAGAGTTGTCGTCCAGCATCTCTCAGGATTGCTGTAATAATGGATTTTTAATTCTCCTCCTCCTTCTCCTTCTCCTTCTTCTTCTGGGAGCTGAGGGATCTCTTCTCTGTCTAGAGGGCCACAGGTTCCTCTGCCTTGCCTCTTGCAGTTAATTGTATGTTTTTAAACTGGGCTGAGACTCACCCCTCCTCCCCACTACAGTGGTGCCCCGCATAGCGACATTAATCCGTTCCAGGATTAACGTCGCTATACGGAAACATCGTAAAGCGAAATAAAAAAGCCCATTGAAATGCATTAAAACCCGGTTAATGCGTTCCAATGGACTGAAAACTCACCGTTCAGCGAAGATCCTCCATAGGGACGGCCATTTTCTGTGCCTCTTAAGCGAGGCAAAACAGCAGGCGGCCATTTTGAAACCACCGATCAGCTGTTAAGCATTGCTTTGTCAGGATCGGTTACGATCATGGCAAAGCACTGCCAGCTAGCTAGCCTGGCTTCCCTCCCCCCCCTTGCGCCCAGCTCGGGTGGATGGGGGGGGAATCCCTCCTCCCCCCCATCCACCCGAAGCTGGCATTTTAGCCCGGCTGGGGTGGATGAAGGGAGAATCCCTCCTCCCCCCCATCCACCCCAAGCCGGCATTTTCGCACGGCTGGGGTGGATGAAGGAAGAATCCCTCCCCCCCATCCACCCCAAGCCGGCATTTTCGCGTGGCTGGGGTGGATGAAGGGGGAATCCCTCCTCCCCCCTCTATCCACCCGAAACCGGCATTTTCGCGCGGCTGGGGTGGATGAAGGGAGAATCGCTCCTCCCCCCCATCCACTCGAAGCCAGCATTTTAGCCCTGCTCGGGAGGATGGGGGGGAATTTTCCCCCAGCTGAGTGGCGGTGGCTTCTGAAGGACTGCGGGGGAGCCCTCCCCGCGGTCCTTCGGAAACCACTGCCAGCATTTCCCCCCAGCTGGGCGGCGCTGGCTTCAGAGCGGCCGCGGGAGAGGTCTCCCCCGCGATCACTCCGAAGTGCCCGCTGGTCAGCTGGGGGGAAATGGTGCCTATGGGGAAACATCGCAAAGCGATGTTTCCCCATAGGAAACATCGTAATGCGATCGCTTTTGCGATCGTAAAATCCGCATTGTTATGCGGATTCGTCGTTAAACAGGGCGCTCGTTATATGAGGCACCACTGTATTCACAAATAATAGCCCTTCTTCCTTAGAAAACTAGCTGCCAGTAATTCAGCTTTAGAATACCCTCTCCAACATTAGCTTTAAAATAATGCACACTTTTCCTTTTTCCTTATTCCCTTATCTGAGAATAAGCCCATTCTCCACGCAGTGAAAAAGAGTAAATTCTCCACACATACCCTTGCACTTTGTCTTATATCTGTCATTAAATGCATTAACTTCCTGTTGTTTCCCAGGAACAAGAAAAGCAGTTTTAATCATTGGGGGAAAAACAAAAACAAAAGGCAAATGTTTGGATGAAACAGTTGTTCCTTCAGATCTGTCACGATCTGTGTTTGATTCCTCCACGCACACTCTGTACGTTGTGATTCAAATGTTGACTAGTGTGCAGTGACAAATTTGAACATCACTGTTTGGAAAGCCTAATTGGATCAAAATGTAACTAGTAAGAGAATTCTGGTCAGGACTATTCCTCAAGGGAAAAAATGTCTTATGAGCTGGTCGAATTATTTTTAATTGTGAATTGGTTGCACAACGTGTTTTAATAACTATCACTGTCTATCAACGCAGGTAGAAAGGAGTGTTGAAAGAAATACTTTAAAGTTTCATCCGAAATATGTCAAAACCAAGGGGACAAAATCACCGTTTTCAGGGCTAGTACCAAACATCCTTGAATGACTGCCTGGAACATCACAATGATACTGCCTGCCCTGGAACATCACAGTTTTTTCCCCGGCCTGATACTCCAGGCAGCATCAAGCATCTGGATCTCAACACCTGTTTAATTCCCCACAATATGCCTGTCCTAACAGCATTC